CCCTGTTTATTATCTACCCCTTCCTGTTCTTCCTGAGGTTTCATGTTCATTTAATTCTATTTTTCCTCACAAAAATAAACCTCCAGTATGTATTTTAATTTATTCCCAGTCTGCTGTAATTAAGTTGCAGATAAACACATGGTTGCCATATGACAAAGTGATATTGAAAGGAAATGAGACACAGAATTTTGTGTACTCAGGCCTTGGTTATGCTGGGTTGGCTCTTCTGTAGACCTACAGCCTAGATCCAATTAGGAAAAATACAAAAATTATGGAAAATTATTGGTCACATTGTGAGCATAGTGACAAACTGAATCATGTAAACTCATGGGAGTAAAGCATGAAAAATAATAATGTTATGGAAATATGGAAGGAGGAAAATAAATGGCAATGGAAATAGAGCAGGGGCCAGAAAAGAGAAGCTGTAATCAAGGGAAGAGAAAAGGAAAGAAAGAACAAAGCAGAGGATTTCACTGGCAATGAGCACAGGCCCTAGTGCGACGTGAATTCTCCCATTTTCTATTGTTTTAAGGTTTATCAGCTGTTGCAGACTCTGAAATGAGAGTTCAGTGTTGTAGTGCTTGGTAATTGTATGGTTTCAGATGTGTTATTGGTTATGTGGATCATCTGATTGATTCCTAACTGCTGTTATCTTCCATTTCCCTATGCAATATTGCACAGAGACTGAAACAGAACTGATCAATGTTTTATTTGCACATCAGGACCCATTCTTCACCTCTGAGATTTTGAGGAAATCCTCCAGTCCCTGTGGGACGTGGATTTGTTTGTGTTTCAGCAGGCCTAGCCTGGGGGCTGGTGGTCAGTGCTTGCAGGTTCATGTGCAGGGCTGATCTATGGAGGCAGCTGCAAGGGGAGCAGTGACTGAAGCAGGGGGTGCAGAGCAGTTTTTATCCAGTAACCAACCGGCTGTGCCTGTGCTGCAGGAGGGAACCAGGCGTGCCCTGAGCTTGGGAGAGGTTCTGGTCAATGTTTGCAAAGATTTGCCCTGGCCAGGGTGGCATTCAAACTGTCACTCATAGAGTCCCAGGATGGCTGGGGTTGGAAGGGACCTTTAAAAATCCTCTCATCCCACTGTCCCAGGCTGCTCCAAACCCCATCCAGCCTGGCCTTGGGCACTTCCAGGAATCCACAGCTGCTCTGGGACCCTGTGCCAGGGGCTCCCCACCCTCCCAGGGAATGATTCCTTCCCAGTGCCCCATCTAGCCCTGCCCTCTGGCAGTGGGAAGCACTTCCCTGCTCTCCTGTCACTCTTTGCCATTGTCAGACCTTCTTATAGGCCCTCAAATCTGCTCCCAAAATTCTCCTTTCCTCTTCTGAAAAGTGAGGCTTGAATGCTGGTTGTGTCACTTGTGATTTTAGTTTTAAAAGCAGAGGACTGAGCCTGGCTGAGCATAGGGGGGTGGGCTGGGACTGCCACGGGTACAAAATCACTTTATCATTTTAGACAAAACCACTTCATCAATTTGGACAAAACCACTTTATCATTTTAGACAAAACCACTTTGACCTCGTGCCATTCTCGTCCTTGGTTCCGCCGGCGCCGGAGGTTTGGGTGGTTGGCATCACAGGGATCACCAGCAGGACTGCTTTGCTTGAGGAACTTTCCCTCAAGATGGGAAGGTGGGAGCTGTATTTATTCTGAGACTTAATTACGAGTGCTGAAGCTTCATAAATCCAAAATACAGTGTTTCTGTGGGGTGTAATTTAGTTGAAGGGTTCTTGGTTTCAGCTCTTGTAGTTGCACAAAGTGAGAAACTTCCACTTTTTCAATGTGCCTTTGTTGCTTTAGTGAAATTCATTTTAAACATTACTGGTGTTATGGCTGTGTTGGGATTTGAAGCCTTGGTGCTCCCAGCCTTGTGTGATTTCAGTGGGTGATAACGTGGCCTTGGCTGAGTAAACCATACAGAGAAATGACCCAAATCAGAGCCCAGTCAGAGCCTCCTGGGCAGGTTTAGAAATTGCTTCTGCCTGTAGAGGAGCCCACGGTACCATAACTCTTTATATACATCCTTCTGCCAGAACAGCAAGTCCAGAATTAGCAGTAAAAGGGAGCTGTTGTCCCAGCTGGGAGCAGTCGTGTGTTTTCTTGCTAAGTGGGACAGAAGCAAATTTATCTGCTTTTATCTGGCATCTCTCTTGCCAATTTTGCTTTGTATTTGTAGCTACAGCTTTTAAGCTGAACACATAACATTTTCCTTAGCAGAGATTTTGTGTGCAGAAAATTGCAGTTCAGCTGCAGAATAATCTATTTTGTTGAGAAATAGCTGCTCCAAGTGTATTCCCTGGGATGGCTTGGTGTGTGTGTAAACTCTGTCCTGGGAGCAGGGCAAAGCTGTGCATTCCATCACCACGGTCCCTTTGTGGTTTGAGGCTGTTCCTGCTTGAGACAAAAGTTCCCATAAGATTCCCTGCTTGGACTCCTGAAGGAGCTGGAAAAGCAATTTCCGTCTAGGAGTAATAATAGCTTGGACTTTTGGTTTTGATCATAAGCTGACATTTAAGAGTCATCTGAGGAAAGATATTTCTTGATGAAAGTCAGGTTTTGCTTGATGCAGTTGAGGCTGATCCTTCCCATCTGCTCTCAGTCCTCGATGGGATCTCTTTCCCTGGCCTCGGCTCTGCTTTACGAGATCCCTCAGGAGTTCCTGACTTTCTCAAGAGACCTTTCAGTGGCTCAGCTCATTCTTTACTCTGGTTTTATTGCTCAGCTTTTCTTTTCCTCAAGGAAAATTGGAAAGTTGCTCAGCAGAGCAGAGGAGGTGGTAATGTGGTACCCAGGGAGTGTTTGGAATTGGGGATCTGCCCATGCTCACCCTGAGCCCGGCTGCTCAGATCCCCACGTTTGCCATTGTGGGATTCAGGGCCTGTTTCAGTATTTTCTGTGTGGAATTGAGGCAGATTGCGTGACTGCATTTCCCAGAGTTCATTCCTGGACCTGTCAGTGTTTAAGGTTGCCGCTTGATGCTGGGTGTGGTGCTTTGCTCCTGCCCCCGCGGGTGTTGGTGGAAGGTGGGAACGGCAGCCGGGATCCTCGCACGGATCCGGGGCTGCCTCAGCCACTGCCGGGGCTGGGTTACAGCAAACAGGGATGTAGGTATTTGTGGTTTGGCTTTTGGCGTGTTTTGTGGAGAGCTAAAATATGACCTTTCCCACTGAAAGGCTGGATTTTATCCCAAATCCTGTGAATTTCACACAGGATTGGCTTCTCACAGCATTCAGGTTGGTTGCCAGAGCCCCAGCACTGAGGGAAGGCACAGAAGGGCCCTGGCTGTGTGCAGAACTCACTGGAGCTCCCTCTCCCAGGTACAGGGAAGCTCTGCCACAGAAAATCATGCACTGGGCTTTCCTTGAGTTGCCTCTGGCTTCCATAGGACATAAATAACCCCCCCCCCCCAAGCTTTGGGGGAATGTGTCAGCTGCACAGGAACTCCTGAGGCAGCCCTGGAAGGATTTCATTTTGTTTTGGCCATTGTAACTCTTATCTGGTTCCTCTGATCTGTTTTCTCTGGTGATTGCCAATGTCTGGGTGTGGGTGGGTGAAGTGTGACTCAGTGTTCAGCTATGGGATACTCGGGATCCCTTGTCAATGAGGGATGCACGAGCTGAGTTCCAGGTAGAAGCTAATCCTGCATTTCCAGCATCTACAGCTTGGAGCTAAAGGATCCCTGGAACCTCCCAGGCCCCTGACACCAGGCAAGGAGAGGCTCATGATGGAAATCAGGCATGGGTTATTGAGGAAAGCCTGGAAAACTTGTTTTGTTATCAAATGGGCATAATTTGATAACAGGGAGTAAAGCTGGAAGAGAATCCCTGCTCTGCTGGATGAGTGACCTTTGATCAGCCACACTTCTGACCTGGAACTGCCCTGCTCAGTGTCCTCCCTTCGGTGTCTGTGTTCCCAGCATAGATCATGGTTGTTATCCTCACAGTAAATACAGTACTGGACACTGGGTAGAAATTAAAATGAGCAAATTCCATGTGCTGTATGTCATTTGGCATCCTGCACAGCCCCCCTTCAGTTTGTCAGAAATTCCTAAACCAGAGCAAGGTCACATCTGGTAGCAATTTTGCTCTGCCAGATGAGGCGTAATCCCATAAAACCAACCTCATTTTCTCCAGTGCTCTCGAAGCTGAGCTCTCCTGCTCCTTTTCCATAAGACCTGCTGCTTGTACTGGGAGCTCTGTGGAATAAATCAGCCTGGGAGACTTTTCACACTTTATAAACTGCAAGGTTTGGAGCACAGCTTTGTGTCCAGCACACGAGGCAGGACAAGCAGCACAGCCCTGCAGTCTGTGGCTCCATTCTGTTTCCTTTTCCAGCAGCAGTCCCTGCAGGATGCTGGGGGTTCCTTGGTGCTGGGGGTCTGTGCATGCCCCATTCTCTGGGTACCCCATTCAACCTGCAGCATCCATACAGAGCTGGGAGTGCTTTTAAAAGAGCTCTAAACTTCTGAGGCTTTCACAAGACGTGTGGAACACATGAGATGGACTAACAAAGTAATGGAGCAACCATCAACCTTTGCACATTGTAGTAACTGAAAATTATTCTCAGAAACATGGAATTTTAATAGAAGCCAGTACTTTTATTTTGATCGTGTTGCTGTTGTCCCATATTTTACTAACATTGGTTATTTTGGTACTTCATTGGCTTAATTACTCTTTCAAAGCCTTGTGTGGAGCTTGGTGTCCATCTCAAACCAGAATGTACCAGTGACTTGTCATCCCTCACAGAGGCAGGGGGTGACATGGTGATGTATTATAAGGTATTATTAAATCCAATTAACAAATGTAGTTAAAATAAACATTTTCTTTCAAGATTTCCTGGGTTTTATGTAAGGATCTTTAAAAAAAAGATCAGGTCAGAATTTCAGAGAATGAATACTGTTACTCCTAACTTAGTGCAATCCACTGTGGCTGGATAGGAACCACCTTATCTGCTGTGATTTTTATTAATCAATTGAACTTTTTTGTTCACAGGCCAAGTATCCGGACATCGTGACCCTTCCAGAAGGACTGCTGGGAGATTTTATCATTCTAAGGAACCCCAAAGTTCCTGGGTAAGCCAGTAAATGCATTTCTATTTACACAGGTGAGGGATTGCACAGGCAGGGCAGCAGCCTTGTGCTGTAGCTGGGCTCCTTCTGTGGCAGGAGGTGCAGGGATCCCATCCCAGCAAAGCCCAGTTCCTCACCTTTGGCTCGGTGTCTTGCCATTAAAGAACATTTACTGTGCAAAGGAAGCAAAGCAGCTGTGGCTCTACTTTTCCATTGGTTTAGAAGGAAATCAGATAAGGAATTATTACCTACCAGGCACATGGGATTTGTTTGGCCTCTCCATGAGAGATGTTCCAGTACATTTGGGATTTTCAGTAGGGGGAAAAAAATCCTTACAGTTAAATGTAAGGTGGTGTAACCATCAGTGTCAGGAATTCTGTAAGGGCCAAGAAAAGCAACTGTTTTGTGACAGGATGAGACCATTCCCTTCTCCTGTTACACCTTGCTTTAACATGCTTTCATTTACATGGGAATAAGGCACAGCTCCCTTCATTATGTTTGTGTGTAGAACTAGCAAACAAACCCTAATAGATGATGCTGCTTCATTCAGCCAAACTTGCCCTTTAAAACTAAATGCTTTAACTTGGGGGTGCAGGAATGAATTGTTCTTAAACTATCCCACATAGGGTAGAACTTGCTTCATTTTACAGTTTCTCCTCGGGTGCCAGGTGCCAATCCCATTACCCTTATTCCCTCTCACCCACAGTCATGAAACACAGGAATATAAAAGTCATTTCAGTGCCTTGGTAGAAAACAGACTGGCATAGAAATTTGTTTGCAAAATCCCAGAACAAGATGTGCACAAATTCCCAAAGGATTTGTAAAAATGGAGTGGCAAAAGGCTGACAAATCACATTGGAAGGAAACTCTTAGAGTCATGATGGGTTGAACACCTCTGAGAAAGGGACCTTGCTCCTCACAGTGACCCACTGTGCAGACAGCTTTGCATTAGGAAAGCCTTTCCTCCAGTAAGGGAGGTGAGGGTTGGAGGGAACAAAGGGAGCTGTAAAGCAGCAGCTCTGCTGTGGATCTTGTTCTGCACTTAGCTCCTGCCTCACCTTTCCCTTGGGATGGTGCAGTGATCCCATCCCACTGTGCAAGCTGGGAATCATGACTGGCCTTGCACAACCAACACTACTCCTGAAAAAGTAACAATGTTGTTCAGCTTTATTTCTTTTTTCATTAAAAGCAAAGAAGTGCAGGAATGTAGGCCTTGGACAGATGTCTACCTGCCATTAGTCTAAAAAGGCCATGAACAGCAGGGTAGCCCTTATTCCAAACCCAGCACATCACCAGTTATGCCAACACTTCTGACACAAGTTTCCTGTTCTCAGCACCTGATCTGAGTGTAGCTATTACATGAGTGGTAGAACCAGGGGACACTCAGTGCTCTCTCTCCTTTGCTTTCCTCTCACTTTTACTGCCCTGTGCAAGTCTGGATGTAGCCAGAGCCTTTCCTTGTCATTGGATTGATGTGTTCCTGCTTCCCAAAGCCAGAGATGGTTCATTGCATCACGTGAGGTGAATTTTGTTGCAGAGCACGAGGTTGAGCCTTGTGACTTCTGCACTTTTGGCTTTGAAGGAACCTCAAAGGCAGCACCTGGGTAACCTCAACTGCCTTTGCTCTGCACCTGGAACAGGTTTGAATTGATGATTGTCTGGAAGATCCATCTTGATGAAGAGGGGACCACTACACCTGTCCTGGACCTGCTGCCCAAAGTACCAGAGCAAGGTAATCTCAGTCACTTCAGGGACTGTTCCTGAACTGCCAGGCCCTGGTTTTGGCCATGGAACTGCAGCTCCCTACACTTCACCTCCTGTGCAATCTCCAGGGGCTCACAAACCCTGTGTGCCTGCAGGCTCCTGCTGCAGCTGCTGGCAATAACCTGCCCTGCTGTGTTTGTCCTGCAGTGCTGGAGCAGAGGATGAGGAGGGTGGAGAGCATCCCCGGCAGCTTCCGCAGCGCGCTCCGGCTCTTCGGCATCGAGGCGACCCTCGAGAACCTGATCCACGTGCTGGGCTCAGCACAGTGAATGCCAGCATTGCTTACACCAGGTAGCAATTTCAAAAGTAGTTTTAATTAAGATATTGTGTTACACGGTCTGTAATTTTATTGAATATAAACATTAAGTTATTTTCCATTTAGAAACCATACTCATAAAACATGCTATCTGTACAATTATGGCACGTTATATATAAATTGTCATGACATGAAAATAAATACAGCCATTTAAATACAAAAATGCCAAATAAAATAGTTACATGTACAGAGTGATTTCATTATAAATTTATCTTTCTGAATCATTAATGTACCAGAGTGGTTTATCTTCTTAACATTTTCTAGATACCTGGAAATTGTTAAAAGGTCATGCACTGTCAAAATCAAGTCCATAAAAATCCAATTCATTTCACAGCTCTGTAAAAGTACAGTGATTTTAAAATGACAAAAGAACAGTAAGAGACTCCTAGAACAGAGAGTTAAACAGCTTTCTCATTAAATTAGGGTGGAAGAAGACAAGTTGAAGATTTCAAAGACATACAATGCTAAAAAACCTGAAGGTAACTGTATGAAGTAACTTTGTTCTACAATGTGTGTTGAGACAGCGTTCATCTAACCCAGAGGGGCCCGTGACACCCCTGGGGACAGGTGAGCCAGTCACCTCCTGCCCCCTGCAGCCCTTCCTTTGCATTTCTGGCTTCAGGAGGAAATCCTGACAACACATTACCAAAGCATCACTTTTCACACATTCACCCCTGAAGAAATACAACAGATCAGACAAATGTCTTGCCTCTCCCTTCACTTCCATCAGATGTGCATGAGCACATCTGGGAACTCTCAGAGTTTGCAGGAGTTCCTGCTCTGCACTAGCACTGCACCCCAAGCAGGGTGCTGTGACTGAAGTCAGGAACTTCTCAGGGGAGGAGGAACAGTTCCTGGAACCAAGAGCCCAAGCCAGCAGCTCTGGGCCCTGGCAGCACAACCACCACCCCATGCAGCCATGGGGAAAGAGGTGAAGTCTGAACTAAAGCAACAGCGTGTTTCTAATCCCATAACTGTAATCATCCACTACTTGATCACTGCAATGGTCTCCCACTGTTCTGGTAGGGTAGGAGAAACTGAGAGAGCAGAGCCTGCTTTCTGCCAGGCTCCATCAACACCAGAGATGGGGTTTTGATGAATGGCAGCTCTATCTTGTCAGATAAGGCAGGCTCATTTCAAGTTTGGAATCCAGTACTCAGGCAAAATTCCTTCCTACTTCTCCACTGACATGGAACTGGTTGAGCCAGTTTTGTGTAACCTTCAGTTCATCTTTAGCTCCCTCCTCCTCCCCTGAAAATGAAACTGTTTGCATATGAATTGTGTGTAAAGTTACAGCATAAAAACCTGGAAACTTCCCAGCTGTGCAGGGTCCTTCCTTCCTCCTCTTTCTAAAAGCTGGAGTGTTTCTGGATTTGTAAGGAGCTCTCCTCCTCCAGGTTTTCTTTGGGAAGAAGGGGTTATTCCTGCTCATTGCACTGCTGTAGCCTCACATCTCAGGCCCTGCCCCAGAAGGGTTCCTGGCACTGGGTGCCAGCACTGCCAGCTCAGCTCTCTGGCACAGGGACAGTGGTGGCTCTGTGTTTCACTTTTCTTCCTTGAGTTGTGCCAAGGTACAGGGGTCCTATTTTTGAATTTCAGGTGAAGTGGAACAATTCAAAGGTAAAAATTCAAATCAGTTTTTAGGACCCTGAACACCATTACTGGCAGGCACAGGCTGTATCCAGGTAAGAGCTGTTCACTGGGGCTGGAGGATTATCTCTGCCCCAGTCAGGGGCTGTGATCCTTGAGGGAAACAGAGCTGCAGATTTTATCATTGCCCCTCAGGTTTGGACACAGCTCAGGATCTTCCCAAGGATGGCTTTGCTGCAGCAGCTCCCCAGCCTTCAGCTGCACAAAGCACTGCTCATCTGCAGCACTGACACAAGCTCACCCTGGCACAAGACTGGCCCACTGCAGGAAGAAAATGGGTTCTGTCACCTTTTTCCTGTGTCATTACAGCAAAAGAGCCTGAAAGCAGCTGCTCATGCTAGGCAGTGTGTGGGGCATCAGTGTAATAGTGCCAATGTTTGACACAGCTGAAAGACCTGAAATGAATTGTAAAACTCAGAACATATTCTTCTTATAGCTCAATTTAAATTAGGCAAGAGCAAGCTGTGGTTTCACCTCCAATAGCAGCATATAATGTATAGAGTCAATAAAAACCAGCATGGCAGGTGAGTTAAGCCCAACTATCATGTAAAACTCAAGGTTGCTTACCTTAACCCTTTGCACTTTGTTTCAGAAGCTTTAGGTAGATACAAGGTGATCACACAGCTTCTGGAGGCAGCCTGGTGTTCCCAGTCCATGCATTAGTACTGAAATGTTCTGCAGTGCCAGGGCAGTTCCACAGAGCAGCCCTGCATGGTTGCATTTCCAGTGGATTAATGCTGAAGTGTTGTACAGCTTGTGCCAGAGCATTCCCTCCTTTAGTAGGGAGGAGGGAGACTCAAAGCACAGGGTCCAAGGTAATTCTCTTGTTAGTAATTAGGCTTTCTATGTTAGTGCAATACTTCAGGAAACCTTTAATTCTGTGCTCTTTCAATTCTAAGGAAGTAGACTTTTCACATTAATTTGATCTGTCCTCTAGGTCCAAGGTATGGCACATTACCTGTTCTGTCACATTAAATACATTCATTAAGGTTATCTAGCAAACATGTGGCTTAGTGCTATCCCAGCTCTCTGAGAAGGCATTACCCATTAGAAATCATTTCATAAAGCAAAAACATTCACAGCTGAAAAATGCACTGAACACAACAGAAAAGGGAAAAAAAAATCACCATAACTGTATTCCAATAATCTTTCACTTTCTCATGTGTTTGAATAAAAATAACCTTAAGGGAACGGTTACACTTTATGGAGAACTAATGTGCAGTCTTCATTCTCCTTGAAGAGGTTGGACATAACTGGGTCCTCTTTGGCCTGTACATTTTTCAGGTAATAATTGACTATTTCACCATCGAGTTTGTACTGGTGGGGGATGCTTTCATAGGGCTTCAGGTCCAGGTCCAGCACAGAAACAGAGAAAGTGAATCTGGATTTGGATGTCAGTACCACAGGTCTTTGCTCAGAGCTGGAAAATAAAACCACATTGCACATCTGAGTCACTGAAACCAGGATTTGTAATTTATGTGTCCCTTTACAGAAGTGACTCTAATGTTTATCTTAGAACTTTTGTGGGAGCCCAAGAAAATAAACTGCAGCTAATGTAGCACTTAGGAAACTCCAGCTTTACCAGTCCTGATGGGACCTTGCTGGCACCTCTTCATTTTCCTTTCAGTATTTAGCAAATCTAAGCTGTTTCTAGGTGCTGCATACAAAGCAACAGCCTTATTAACAAAAAAGCAGAAAAGGGACTGCAACTCCTACTGAGCTCAAGGTAATAAAACATTTGGTGTGCTGTCCAAGCATGCTAAGGGATGGAGGAGTTCTGAAGTCAGCCATTGCACAAGTCATGTCCATCACTAACACTGCACTGGAGAACTGCAGGACAAATGCAGAAAACAGCATTCTCTAAAAATAAAAGGGCTCTGGTGAAGCAAAGCCCCCTGCAGAAGAACAGATTAGCACTGCTGACACAAACCAAAAGGGATAACATTGAGGCAAAGCCTCCTGCCTGGCAGCCAAAGCTGTCACCTCTTGATTATTGCCTTGGTTTTGTCCTAACTAGGCCATTAAAGGCAACTCAGCTTGAAAAAGCTCTCCTATGAGAACACCAAGGCAGAAAAACTGCACCTAGTTAAAACCATCCAGAGCTACTATGAACAGTCAAACCAAAGTTTAAGGAGGGAATAAATATAAAACTTTGATCTTTTTGATCAACTTAAAACTCTTTAGAAAGAGACATAAATGTCTTAAATCAGAACGATGCTAAAATGCTCACAGCCAAATATTTGGACACACCCCCCCACACACATCCCACACTTTTTTAAAGTGATTGAGGTGCCTGAACAGTACAAACATCCCAATTTCTAAACAACTGGAGCCATTCCAAAGCAGGTACAGGCAGCTCTTACCATTCATCTTGCAGGCAGGGGGAAAGGGCAATCATGATGGAGCAGTCTTTAGCAGTCATTGCTATTCTGTACTGCTGCACCTGTACAACAGAAAATAACACACATTTTCTCTTAGATTGTTGTTTTCCTGAGTAAAGCATCCTGTTCCTTACAAAAAGCAGCACTGCACTCCCTGTCTTGGTATGTTGGCACTTTAAGAGCAGGAAATTCTCTCTGGAACAGAAGGTTGGCAGGAGCAGGTGCTTTTGCAGCATCCTGTACAAGAGTCAGGTTTATTTCCTGCAGATCATGTTCCTAAAGGCCAAACAGCACCAGTTCCTGCAAATGCTTCCTCAGTTTAAAAAGTAAATAAACAGTTTTCTTTTTCTCTCAGGAACTGGTGCTACAAGCTTGTTTTTAACTGCTTCTGCTATAAAGATGAACCCTGACACAAGGAAGCACTTTAACTGCACAGACCCCACAAACCAGCAGTGCTGCCTCCATCCATTATCCAGCCCTTTCAATGGAACAGGTTAATTAACACTGACAGACCAAACCCCTCAGAAATTGAGAAGTACCTTTGTTAATGCAAATGCCACTGTCCCATCATCTTCCAGGGAAAGGTCCAGCAGCTTCTCATAGAATGCTTCATTGTAAGGTCCATCTATCTGTAATGTACTTCTAAATAAATGTTAAAAGAAGATTTACAGACAGCCAAAATGATGTGCTGGTTTTCAGTGTGATCTTTGCTCAGCAGCCCAGACACTCAGATTAGAACAGCCCAACAATAACACTGATAAACATATCCAGTATTAACCCACTGCCAGCCAACATCACAACACTCCCTGCTATTCTCAAATCACTCGAGATTTGCTGCTGCTTAGGATCTGGGTTGTGTGGGGTTTTATAAACATTAATCATTCTTAATCCACTGCCAGCTCTGTATCACTGCAAAATTATG